ACCTCGTCTCGGCATCAATTAAAGTTTTGCTGATATAGTAAATTGGAGATTGCGTACCTTTATTTTTACGGACCAAGACTGCGCTTATCAAAACTTCGGAAACTGCTAGATACACAAGTAGGCATTCACCTGGGTCCGCTTTGACGAATAGTGGTGGTGAGGATAGATACGTTTTCAGCTTTCTCAAGACTTCGATGCATTCCTTGTTCCATTGCAGCCCGTGGTCTTTCCTTAGTACATTGAAGAATTTATGGCATCTATCCGAGTATCGTGAAATGAACCTTGATAAGGCGGTTATTCGTCCTATTAGTTTCTACACCTACTTTTTACTGGTCAGTATTTCCGGTATTGAGCCGATGGCCTTGATTTGATTTGGGTTGACCTCAATTCTCTTTTGTGATACTAGAAAATCGAGGAACTTTCCAGAAGTCACGCCGAAGGCGCACTTTTTGGGATTCAGTTTCATTCCGTATTGCCTTAGTATTTCGAAGGCTTCCTTCAGGTGACCAATGTGATCTTCTTTCTTTGCCGACTTCACTAGCATGTCATCGATATAAACCTCCATTATCTTACCAAGTTGCTCTTTGAACATTTTGGTGACTAACCTTTGGTACGTGGCCCCTGCGTTCTTAAGCCCGAAAGACATCACTTTATAGCAGTACGTACCTCGGTGAGTGATGAAAATGGTATTTTCTTGATCTTCTTCAGCCATGAGAATTTGGTTATAACCAGAGTACGCGTCCAGGAAGCTCAGCAGTTCTTGTCCCGCCGTTGCATCGATAAGTTGGTCGAGTGGGGTAACGAGAAAGAGTCCTTCGGGCATGCTTTGTTTAAATCGGTGAAGTCGACACACATTTGCCACTTCCCGTTCTTCTTTTTGACCATGACCACATTGGTGACCCATTGGGGGTATTTCGATTCTTTGATGGAACCATTGGCGAGTAATTTATCAACTTCCTCGCTGACTGCCTCATTGATTGCGGCATTAAACTTCCTCCTTATTTGTCGTACCGACGGATAGAGTGGGTCGACATTCAGCTTATGCGTGGCTATCTCCCTTGGGATTCCTGGCATATCTGAGTGGGAAAAAGCATACAAATCGGCGTTGTTAGTTAAAAACTCACGATACTCACCTGGCTCCGAGAGGTTATGCCCAACATAAGCCCTTTTGGTGCAGTCGATGTTATCTAGCTAGACGGGGTCAAGATCTTCCACGGTTGCCTTGCAAGTTTCTATAAGGTTTGGATCTTTGATGGCCTCTACTTGTATGTCGGGTTTGGTGCCCGACATGGCTGACTGCTATGCTTCCACACTTGCCCCTTTTAGATGTTTTGTGTGTGTGCAATCTTTGATGATCCGATAGCATTTTTGGGCGGTACGTGGCTCGCCTCGGATATTGAATATCCCTCATGGGGTGGGAAATTTGATCACATGATAGCAGCTTGAGGGGATGGCTCGCATGGCGTGTATCCACGGTCGTCCTATGATGGCGCTATAGGCTGTTTCCTTGTTCATGATGTGGAATGTTGTTTCCAGGGTGACCCCTCCTGCCAGGATAGGTAGCATTATTTCTCCAGATGTCCGCTCTACTGCATTATTAAAACTCGTTAGTGTTATGCAGTGCAGTATTATTTTATCCTCGAGCCTCGTTTGCATGAGAACTCGTGGATGAACAATACATGCGCCGCTTCCGCCATCCACCATGATTCTTTTTACATAGATATCAGCGATGCGTAAAATTATAACCAAAGCATCATAGTGAGGGAAAGACAAACCATCGGTATCTAACTTATCGAAGATGATACTATCTTCAAGGTCATCATATCGTTCGTGGGTGACTATCCGTTTGAGTTTGTGCATGGTGGTGAACTTCACATGGTTGATTACCGTGTCATCGCCGCCGCCAATGATCATTTGTATGGTACAGGCTGGTGATGGTGTCTTTGGAGGCCCTTGAGATGGGTCGCGCCCTCGAGTGAAGTTGGCCCTTCCTTTATCTTTTAGCAGTTCTTTCAGGTACTCCTGGTTCAATATCCTAACTACTTCTTGCCGCAGACCTATGCAATCTTCGGTCTTGTGTCCTCTTTTTCTTGGTAGAATTCACAGAGGATGTTCGACCTCCTAGTGTTTGGATCCGATATCATCTTTTGCGGCCATTGCACCTTCGTTCCCAACTTCTCTAGTACGTACACTATCTCTGAAGAGGAAACACAAAAATTATAAGCGGATAATAGTGGAGGCATACCTCTTTCGTTGCGGAGGGGTGCATCGTGTCGTGGCGCGGTGTCCGCATGCCGTGGAGGGGGCGGGTTGGATGTTCGGATATAGGGCTGATGCCTTTCGCGATTGAAACGTGGTGGTTGATCTATTTGCCTGTAGTTACATCGATCTCTCCTTGTCTCGGTCTGGACTGATGTTAATTGTTGAAGCGGGCCATTCAGCTCGTCCTCGTTTGCCCTCACCTCGGTGCAATAGGCATTGTGGATCTCTTCCCATGTGGTAGGGGATACTTCATGAGTCTACTGAGCTGTTTTTTGGTTGCCTTTGACCCGTTCCTGTTTAACCCATTTTGAAAGGCTGCTACTGCCATCCCTTCTAACACGTTTGGTAGACTCATCCTTACTTTGTTGAATCGGTCCAGGAAATCCCGGAGTCCCTCGCCCGTCGTTTGCCTGACAGCGAAGTTATCATTGGCCCTAGCCTCATCCTTCTTCGCTCTTGCATAAGCGGTGGCGAATTTATCTGCCATCTCTTTGAACGTCGATATCGATCGCGCTGGTAGCTGGGAGTACCATGTCAATACTCTCCCTATCAAGGTCTTACCGAACTTCTTTAGTAGCACAGACGGTACCTGTTCTTTTGATAGACCATTGCCCTTTGCTGCAGTAACATAATGGATTAAGTGATCCTCCGGGTCCGTGGTCCCGTAATATATGTTCAAGTATGGCGGCATTTTGAAGGTCTTTGGAATAGAGTGTGGAGCAGCCCCTTCGCTGTAAGGCTGTTCGACGAATCGGCCCACATCGCGTTTTGGTAATAGCTTCGGAACGCCTGGTATTTTGTCGACCCTCTCCTGATGTTCCTTCATCTGGTCGCGTAGTGTTTTGTTCTCGTTTTCCATCTCTTCCATTTTCTTTAGGATGACCATAGTGCATCGTCACCTGCATTAGTAACAGTGTGTGTGTGACCTGCTCGTGTAGCGCTTGGCTCATCGGCGGTAGCTGCGATTTCTGTAGGTGGTACGTCTTCGACATCTCCTTGAATGGGTTTCTCGAGCATGCTGCTCAAAGCACTTGTTAACCATTCTTCTAGCAGCTTTTTGACTGTTGGTGGTGCTTCCCCCACTGTGGATGTTAAGGCTTCCCTTTCGCGCAAGATCGTTAGATCCCCGTGTGGAAGAGGTGAGTTTTCCCCCTCCGGTGTAGCTATTGGTATTGTATTCTCATTGTCTTCTCTACCGGCTTTGTTGAGGGAGTTCAAGAGATTATTCGAGACATCTGCTATCGCCTTCAGCCTCGCTTCTTTTCCCGCCATTGTTGGTTTTTATGAGGTTTGAAGAAAAGCAATTATCACTTTTAGGAATCTAGAAGAGAACTATGATTTCAGCTATAGAAATCCCCACAGACAATGCCAAATTGTANCAACCAAATACAGGGAATATTCGGCGGAATATTCTTAATGGCCCCTAATGGGATTACACTACTGTAGGGGTCATGCAGTTTCTTCTTTCGCCCTAAGGTTATCTTCCTTGGGACGCCGATTCGAAGGTACTTGGTCGTTTGTCATACTCGTCATAGGTCGAGGTCGGTCAAATTTGGACTCATACAATAAGGTATTTCTTTCTTTACCCAAACCAGTTCCTGTTCATATGTTCACGTTGCTTACTCAGCCTCTTAGGAGTACAATTTACAGATGCGCTATTGTCAATCCAATAATCTTGCTTAATGTAGAAGTAAACACCTCTTGTTTAATGATGTAGAAAATGAATTATGTTATTGTAAAACTCCATTCTAAAGCATAACTTCAAAGGCATGGCCGTATGAGTCTCCATTTCAGTCATGCTATGAATTATTCGGTCCCCAAATCACTAGCTACAATTATCATACAAAACAATGTAATACACGTTAGGACTCAAATATAGTCTCCAACATGTGTTTCTATTATTTACTTGATGGTCAATTATTCAATCAATTAGGACCTTTTTGGCCATAGATTTTGCCAAAATTTATTTGGTTTTTTTTTGGCAATACACGTTTGTTCATAAATTTTATCCATATTTTGGCAAATTCCCAAAACTCAAAACTAGGGCTGCTCGGTGGGCCGGGCCTGGACCGGACCGGGACCG